AAATAAATGGTTATACTGTTCGGCCCGCAAGTTTTGAGTTTTGGCCCCCTGTGCAATTGAGTTTGACACCCCTGACCTAGAACATATAGGTACATTTTCACCAGAACATATGTATGTGGAACGGGTTTTATCTCCAGGACAAGATTTTATAGACACATTACTCTCCCCCTCCCCCCAAAGTCAAATTTTGTTAATCCTGCACTGGCCATGTTTTATTTTACATTTATTGTGTTGCATGGGGACATGCACAATAATCTCTGGTTGCCTAGGGGTGAACAATTGAACAAACTGCAGGATTCAAAGACTTCAGTGAAAAGTTAAACCTTGGACTGTGCAAGTCATTAATGGAGAGCAAAGTTCACTGACAGCAATGTAAGCAAGCAGAAGTCCAGGTCATAAAGAATTCATTAGAACTTCTATTCCCTTTTGGAGTCATAAGGGATCTTACAGGTGTTAACATTAAAATGATACAGAGAAAAATCAATCATGCTGTATTGGACACACACACATAGGGCCCTAACATACCTACAATTAACATTGAAGCACACAGCAGCTCCCTTTGAAAATAAATCCATATTTAGAGACCTAATTGGTGATTTAAAGACCCTAATTTTAAGCCTTCATTTTTGAAGATCTTTTGTGACCTATAAAATGTTAATTAACTAGACCGTATTTATTTTTTTTCAACAAGTGTTTTCCACCTTGTGATATACTTAATACGTACTGATGTGAGTTCCTCTAGCAATATATGAATACATGGTTTGGGCACACAATTACCTGTTTCACTAATTAAATAAGTTATGTCTTAGTTTCATCAGGAAGAGGTAGATGTATACTGCATATTTGTAGCATCCAAACCATCAACAGCTTGGAAAGAGAGCCATTTTCATCCACAATATACAGAAACATTCTTGTGAAATGCTGTGCTAATAATTAATTGACTATTGACCTTCGAAATAATTGGTAACAACTTTTCTGACTCTACTTACAGGAGATGACCAGACCGAGAGAAAAGGCCAGGTTTTAATCCTTTTAGTGGAACAAGCTCTCCATTTCCAGGACTACAAAGCTGCTAGTATGCACTGCCAAGAGCTTATAGCCACAGGTGAAGTTTACCACTTTAATAAAAAAAACAAAAACAAAAAAGTCCTCTCCTGAATTTTCTGACATGTAAAATATGTGACTCCAGACTGACTAACTTAACTGGTAGGTAAACCACACTTTGTCTGTGGAAATTAGAATATAGTTATTTAGAATACAGCAAGTGTAGAATGCTATGTTACCTACATAAATCACATGGACTACAGAACATTTAAGCAACAGTCACCTCTGGAAAAATGCAGATTTTCAGTTAGATTAATTCTGTGTGATCAGTCTGCGGGAATTATGTATTTTAATTTAGATATCCTTTATTTTCATGGTAGTGTCTCATAAATCTGTCCCAGCAGGGATTTAGTTTTAATTGTTTCCACAGTGGTTTATTTCCAAATTATTCTTGTGGCGGGAGGAGAAAAGAAATTGTTTTTCATTTATCTCATATGAATCCCCATGTGTGATACATTTGAAATCTTGTTCATTAATGAATATTCATTGAAATACTATTAAAATCCAAAGACCCCTATAGATCCTAGTGGTAAATGCATCAATTTCCATTTTGTGAAGACCTACGGGGCCCATTCATTCTTTAATCCTTTTCTATATAAATTCTCCATCAAAACATTAGCACATTACTTCATGAAGCTATGCTAGGATCTGGTTTCAACCTAAAAAAGTTAAATCAATTTATAAACTTCACAGTATAATGAAAGGCCTATTTATCATATCAAGTGATTGGTTTACTTATAGAAATAATTAAATAGTGAGGAAAGCAGTTATTAGTTATACAGTTGCTCAGGGGTCCTGTTGTATTACCCTGAGAACGTTAGGGACTATATTCATAAGGGGAACTTTTAGGCATCTGGCCACCTAGTGTAATTCACAATCTCAGGTTAGTCACCCAGGCTCCTTATACAATGTGTGGGTGGAGTTAGGCACGTTAAAAAAAGGATTCACAGAAGCCAGCACCCTAATAGGGATCCAGCCTCCACCCTTAATTTGGTGGAGTTAGGTGCTGAACTCCAGGCTGGAGGATAGTGCTTCCCTCTGCTCAGGATTCATAGTTGTAAACCCTTTTCTGGAGTTAGGTGCCTAATCCAGGTCAGCCCTTTCTTAAGGGAGGTGGTGGTGGTCCCTTCCTTAAATTATACTCAATAGGCCAGTGGTTCAAGTGCTCGCTTGGGGTGTAGGAGAGCTGGGATCAAATCTCCGGTCTGCTTCTACCCAGGTCTCCTACCTCTCATGTGAGTGCCCTAACCATCAGGCTGTGAAGTGTTCTTGGATGAGTCCTTCAATCTTTCCTATTGAAGCTGTTCCACTTTGTATGAAATACTTAAATATTCATTTGGACAGAGGGTGAGCGTTAATTCATAGGCCAGTGGTTAGGACGGGCGCTTGCCTGGAAGGTGGAAACAAGACCCTGCTCTGAATCAGGTACAGTTGGGATTTGAAGCTGGGTCTCCCAGATTCTAGGTAAGAGCTTTATCCACTTGGCAATTGTGCAGAAGGCATGACACCAACACAACCTCCTCCACACTGTCTTTTGTGTGGGTTATGTCTGCTAAAAGCATACCTACCAGGGCAGGCTCTGCAGATGAGAGAGACAACGGCACACCTTGTTTGTGAATCCCACCCGGCTTAGGTGTGAGCTAGGTGCCTATCAGTTTGGTGGCGTCTGGACTTAAGTGGCTTTGCTCATGCCCACGTGTGGAAATTTAGATGCCTGTGAATTCTAGGCACCTGCAGGGCTAGGCAGCACTGGAGCAAGAATTTTGTGAATGTCTATGGTGCCTAAAGGTGCCGTTAGGTACCTTAGTCACTTTTGTTAATCTGGCCCCAGGTAATTTAGTAATAGGTACTGTCCTGTTCTTACTTTTTCCATAAACGCACACACTGTGGAACTAAGAGCTAAGTCCTTTTGTGTTGTTTAGGGCAGGTCACATGTGACCTTTTCATTTTTGAGTGGTCTTCCACGATTAAGATCTTCCCCTTGTCAGTTATGCACAGAGCAAGTCCAAGGATTTGGCTGAGGGGTTTGTAAGATCTCTGCCATCTTCAAACTTAACTAATTTTAAGTAAAGCGTGTGTTTGGTGGTGGGAGAGGTTGACATGTCCCCATAATCCCACCTACAATACGAAAAGTGGATCCCAGTTATTTGTGCTGTTTGTACATATTTGCAAACATTTAAACAATGTTCTATGTTTCCCATATGATCTGGGGCCACTAGACTCTCAGCCACTGGAAGTGATTGTGTGCACTTTGGAGGAGTGTGATTCCTCTTCTGGTCCTACCACCCACATCCCATCCATCCAGAAGATAGCTAGTAGTAGCTTCACGTTTCTCCTTGTCTGCCCAAATCCTATTTTAATTCTTGCAAGTCTAATATGGCTTATGGGAGGGGAAAGGTATAAGTGGAGATCGGGGAATGGGATAACAGAAGATAATCTGCTCCTGTGTTTCTCCTCTGTATTCTCCTGTGGTCCTAACACAGAGGAGTTAAATTATGTTATTTTAAAAGACAACCCTGATCTTTTGCAGCAGCTGATCTATTCTAAAAATGTTCAGTTTATGCTGAAGCAGTCTGGTCTGATTTTTCTTAACATGTTTCAGAGTAGCAGCCGTGTTAGTCTGTATCCGCAAAAAGAAGAACAGGAGTACTTGTGGCACCTTAGAGTGTGTATATATATCTCCTCAATATATGTTCCATTCTATATGCATCCGAAGAAGTGGGCTGTAGTCCACGAAAGCTTATGCTCTAATAAATTTGTTAGTCTCTAAGGTGCCACAAGTACTCCTGTTCTTCTTTTTTCTTAACATGGTGTCACTAAGGACAAATACACATGTATGGACACACACACATGACCATGTACCATATTGGTACCTAGAGTATATATAATGTTAGGTAGCTGAATTCCAGGGTTTTTTCCTTACTACGAAGTGTCTGTCTGTGTCTCTCTCTCATGAAATGTTGAGAATTCAATAAGCGAGGCTATACTATCATCTGATAATTGATGATGATCAGGGCCGGCTCTAGGATTTTTGCCGCCCCAAGCAAAAACAATTTTGGCCGCTCCCCCGCCCCCCGTTTTTTTCTTACCCCACCCCCGGCCCCGCCTCAACTCCGCCCCTTCCCCAAATCCCCTGCCTCCTCCCCCCAGGCTCTCAAGTCTAGGAGGGAGGGAGGGAGAGGGAGAAGCAGCGAGTGCGCCGCGGCCACTCGGGGTCTCCCCCTCCCTCCCGGGTTTGAGAGCCTGGGAGGGAGGGCGAGCAGCGGCGTGCGAGCGGCAGCAGCGGAGGTGAGTTAGGGCGGCCGGGGCACATTTTTAGGGGCGGCATGGCCCGCGCCAGAATGCCGCCCCTAAAAATGTGCTGCCCCAAGCACCAGCTTGTTTTGCTGGTGCCTAGAGCCGGTCCTGATGATGATGTAACCTTTGGCCATTGGAGAAGGTTGATTTTTTTTTTTTTTCTTCAGCACCCCCACAATTAGATTATTGATTTTATGTGACTTTGCTTGGCAATCTTTTTGTTCCCTTTGCAGGCTATTCTAAAAGTTGGGAGGTATGCAGCCAATTAGGGCAATCAGAAGGCTACCACGACCTGAGTACTCGGCAGGAGCTCATGGCTTTTGCTCTGACACATTGCCCTCCAGGTGCCATAGAGTCACTGCTGGCAGCAAACAGTTCTTTGCAGACTCAGGTAGGATCTGTTTCTGTAAACTTTTCCTACATACGCTGTGAATACTTATTTTCTGAAATAGGGGTAACTATTTTGTGTGTCGTCCCCCCCCAGTCTTCCTACAATGTGTCTTATCAATTTTCTGTATTTTTTTTACCTTACATTTTATATCTGAACAGTTAAATATTGCTTTTATAATACATTTCCTATAATAAATAGATAAGAATGCAATTTCTTTTTTGGTATAACTAGTACTGTTGGATGGGTGCTATAGCCTCAGAGGTTTCTAAAATGCAGCATTGTCTGGCATATTGTTGACAGAATACTCTGTTCCAACTCTGTAGTACATTTGATTGGGATGTACAAATGCGTAATTCTTCTCTGTCAGTTCTTCAGCTTCTATAAGGATTTTGTGCATTGTACACAGCCTCATTTGTACACAGTCTCTTTAAATGCCCACTGCCTGTTCCAATGTTTTCTGCAGGTTCTGCCAAACATACAGTGAAATCCTGGCTCAATTGAAATAAATAACAAAATTCCCATTAACTTCAGTGAGGCCATGATTTCACCCAGAATGGTTTTAATTATTTATAATGAGGATTTAAGTCCTGATCCTGCTATTAGCTCTTCACAGGATCAGGGCCCTAAATATCAATTTCATTATGTATGTAAAATCTGTAACTATCAGATATCTCATTATATGTATTTGAGAAGACTACTAATGTATGTATTTGAGAAGATTAGCATAAATGCTTTGCAGTGGTTGAGTAAGTTGAGTAAGTCAAAAAGTTTAATTTCCATTGAGGTTGACCCTAGTTTTGCCAGTGTGCACAGAGTTTTTCTGAATTGTTTCATATAGGGTACATTAGGGGAAATTGAATTTTGTATTCTGAAAAGTAACTTCTTACAAATTACATTGTATAGATTCCATTTATTCATCTGTCCCCGTTCCATACTGTCTTGCAGTCAACAGAAGGGCTTAAGCTGGATCTCCCTTGTTAAAAAAAAACCAGAGGGGAAGCCAACGGGACATTCTCTGTGAAGGCTCAGAGACTCTGGAATTTGTATCCCTCTAAAATCTGAAATAATCCAAAATCGGTAATCTTCCAGGAACAGTGCAAAAGTAGGGATTGGATAGGGTTATTGGAGAGGGCTGTGGGTCTGCTGTGGGTTTTTTGTAGGTGGCTGACTGGCTGGCAGAGTTCCTGTTTGAATGATCATTTCTATGCTGCTAATTATTATTATTATGTATTATTATTATTAATGTGTTATGGTGCATAGAGCCTTGCATAAGTGTCATTTTATTATTGTAGACTAAATTAATTAAACATAGTAATTTATTAATAGTAATTCATATTGGGCTCCAAAGTCCCACTCAAAATTGTGCTGGTGCAGTACAATAACACAGGAAGGCATTGTATTTGTTCTTAAGAGCTAAGAATGTAAAAAATAGGGGAAAAAAAACCCAGGTACAACACAAAAGTAATGTGGCTAGGCTGATTACAAGCACATCTCATTTTTCTTTCTGAAAATTGTTTGTATATTTGTCTTATTTATATTACAAGAATGTATTTTTAAGTGTTTTGGAGGGTGGCAGCACATGATTGAAATTGGGGAGAGAAAGTGATTGTTGAAGTAGGAGAAAAAGTAAGTAAAAGAAAGGGTAGAAGCATGATCGGTTGAGGGAGAGTTTGTTCAGCTGAAGGGTGCAGAGGGAAGGATCAGAGTAAAGGGGATCAGCAACTAATAGAAATACTGCAAATCATGGGTGAATGTGGTGGAAAGTTTGTCTGCCAGTAACTTCCATACTAAGGCCAACCCACGTACATACTTTCTTAACTGTATTACCATGGGTGGCCCCATTGATTAGTGGGACTTGCCACAGTAGTGAAGAGAAGCACAAGTATATACATTTGCAAGATTGGGGCCTGAATATTTAGTTTATAAGTAAAACAGTGCTATCCACCTGGAATTGGAACTTATTTCAAACTATTTTTAGATAATATACAAACCAGATAATAATCCTATTCACTCTTCCCATTACTGCAGTAGCTCTACATTACCAAGAAGAATGAAAAGCAGTAAAAACTTCTGTCAATACAGTGAATATATGAGGTAGATCTGTTGAGTAAGAAGATGCCATTTTCATGTAGTTACTTTCTTTAAAAAAAACAGCAGCAAAAACAGTACTTCATGGAAAATGCACATACAGTACTGAGAGAAGGTGGTTTTGTGTAGACATTTATGTCAGTGGTTCAGCAGGATGCCATGATTATTTTTTTTATTCTCCTGGAAGTTTTACCACCTGAGGTCCTTGTTTTCTCGTGACACTAGGTAGCTTGAATAATTGTGTATTATTAGTTTGCATGATAGCAGAAATAATGTATACCCCTTCTTTTCAGATTCTTTATCAAGCAGTGAATTACCAGTTACGCCCTTCAGAAGGAGGGGAGAATATAAATATCCCAGGACCTTCTTCGCTGGTCACTGAGGAGACTCCTCAGGTAAGTTTTAAAGTGAGAGTGTAAAATGACTACCATTGCATTCTGTTTTATCCTGTATCATAAGGAGAAACAGATTTCAAAGATTTCACCTAGTACAGCGTAGAGAACTTGAGATATTTTTCTGCTTTAGGCTTTGTGCTTAGCACTATCAAATAACCTAAGGAAACAACCAATAGATGATTTGTAATGAAGTTTTCTTGCTAATATATACTCCAAATGTGGTCTTGTCCAGTGGGGTCTCAGCACTGTAAACAAAATAATTGAGAACATAAATAAATACAAAGGCAGAAGAAGTGGAAGACAAGACAAAAACCTAACATAAAATAAAGGAATAATTATTAATGTTGATGCTAGCCTTGCAGTATGGCACATATCAACATTGGTAAACAAACCATATGATATTTGAATTTAGCCTTTTTTCTGTCTACATATTATTCACATATGGACATTTTATCTTTTACAAATTCATAATTTCTCAAACACTTTGTATGTACATACTTTCATAGGGTGTTTTTTTTTTATGAGGCTTGAAGGCACCATTATGATCATCTAGTCTGACCTCATGCTTAATGCAGGCTGTAGAATTTCACCAAGCCATTTGTGTATTAAGCCTGTAACATCTGGTTGATGTAGTATATATCTTTCAAAAATACACATTCAATCTTCATTTAAAGCCCTATAGTAAAGGAGAATGCTCTATGTTTTAGCTTATGTGTTGCTTGTAATCTATTAGTTTTGACTGTTTGATTCATTGGTGTAGTTTGTCACCTAAATAATGACATTATTTTTTTCCCTTCTAATTGGATGACTGAAGGTTTCTAAACAGGGTAAAAAGCAACAAAGAGTCCTGTGGCACCTTATAGACTAACAGATGTATTGGAGCATAAGCTTTCGTGGGTGAATTTTGGGGGGAGCAGCAATATAAAATCACAACGTTTTTTTTCCACTCCTGGTCTTTCAAGATTATTTGTAGAGACTGTAGACTCCAACCTCTCTACTTAGTACTATTAGTACTAAAGGATTTTAAGTTGTCGCTCTTACTTAAGAGTCAGTGAGTTCTTACCGTTGTTATATGGGATCATTTATATTTGCTTAAATATTTGATGTCATGTTTTTTTGTAGATCATAATCTGTTGAGGTTTACTATGATTTAAGCTTTTGCACTTAATTCCTTTTCTCTAAATGACATTTTTATGTGTTAACCTCCTTTTTCACTTTTCATGCTTACAGCTTCAACATAACTTCAATAATAGCACATAGAATGTGAGCACCTGGTCTCCTATGATGAAGGAATAGGAACCACCTAAATAGCAAGGAAGTGAAAATGCCTTTGTTAGAGTTTTTTTGGAGAGCTGGGAGTTAGAAGTTTGGTTAATCTCCTTCTTTTGGAAGAATAGGTTTTTGCTAACTTGGATTTCATTGGTTTTCCGTTTCATACAGTATATTGGTAATAGTCTTATTAAAAAAAAAGTAAAGAGAAAAGTCTGTAGTTCAGATTCTACTGTCTAAGGCTTATTCAGGCAAAATCCAATTGATTTAAGAGATCAGCCCATGTATATGTGGGTATGTATCAACTATATATTTGTTGGGGAGACCATCGGGTGGGGGGGAGGGTTTACCATTGATTGCTAAAACATATTAGCTAGGGTTGCCAGGTGTCTGGTTTTCAACTGGAATGCCCGGTCGAAAAGGGATCTGGTGGCTCCGGTCAGTGCACACCCCCAGCTGGAGCCCCAACCCCCTGCTCTTAGCCCAGTGAAAATGAGAGAGTGAGCAAGGGTGGGGGGAGAGCGAGTGACTCAGGGAAGGGAATGGAGTGAGAGGGGCCTTGGAAAAAGGGCGGGGCAGAGGCAGGGTAAGGGTGTTCAGTTTTCTGCAATCAGAAAGTTGGCAACCCTAATATTAGCTAACACTATTTGATTTAACTAATATTATATGGATAAAGCTGATAAAACTAGTACTAGATGGGCATAGCTCCCTCAACACACCATGTTTCACTCTCTCTAGGGCTCCAATAAAAGATTTTTCACTTGTTTTGCTAATTTTAACTTTTTATCCTCCCACAGTGAATTGAAATGAGGAGGCCTAGGGTGTGTTGGGATGACACAGGTGGGAACATAACCATCTGGCTCCTCTGCAAACCCCATTGTTTAGACATTTTAAAATAGGACTAGACAAAGCATTAAAATAAATACTGTAGGGAACAATCCTTCACTGGCAGGAGGCTGGACTAGATCACCTAATTGGCCTAGTCAGTCTTCAGCTCATGTAATTCTTTGAAGAACTATGTTCAGGAGGGGAAAGGAATTCCTCTATAATGATTGCCTCTTTCTTATTAAGATCCTTTTCCCCTTCGCACTCTTGTTGTATGCTGTAATTACCTCAATTACTAATCTAGTGTTGCTCAAAGAAAAAAAATCTCAATGTGCAAATTAGGACCTTGATTCATGAAGAATATTTCAGAATATTATAGCTAACATTATTAGAGTATATAAGTATAGTGCTTAGTCACAAGATGCTGTGTTATGTGTTAACAGGAGAAATAATAACCACAGTAAATTATGCCTCATAAATGAGGGCTGACTTTATACTTAATCTGCTTAATATTTAAAACCTACATTACATCTGCTGTAAAAATGATTTTATTTATATATCTAAGTAATGTGAAAATGTAATTACTGTGCATAGCACTTTGGCACGAGAGAAACTTGCAATTTCAAGAATATTCGTACTGTCCTTGGAAACAAGGTGTTTATTGATATTGCGGAGGATGCATAATTTGAAAACATCCTTCTGTAAAAATTACAGATCTGCTTTTTGTATAAATGCTGTTTAAAGGACTCAAAGTTTCTACTAGTTGCAGTTTAGTATTCTCTTTTGCTAGAGTTAGTTATGCAACTTAGCCTATGCTTTAACCTGAAAATCTATTTAGATTTGAAAAATTGGCTACACCTGAGGTCTCGTATTAAAAACCACACTTCTTAGCTTGTGACATGCATTGTACTTACCCTTTTACTGAGCATCAAATACTTTTCAAATGAGCTACAAATGTATGCATTATGTTTAGTGAAAGGCTCATCTAATTGAACACATTTAATGAAGAATTTTTATATGTAGGGCCTGAGCAGTGATAATGTATGTTCTCAGTGATTTAGGTGGAAGTCAGAATTACATTTTTTCTGTACATGGAAATGCTTACTTAATGATAGTGTCATTAGTTAAGACAATGAAGAGCAAATTCTCATCTCACTTATACCTATGCAGATTCAGAGTTCAGTCCATTGAAGAATCTGGTTCTCAATGACATGACTTAGTAAATGTTGGTTGTAAATAGCTTCTAAGAGGAATATAGTACATTCTGGGATCTGAACTCCAGTATTTTATAGCTGATTAAAAAGTTACATGAATGCGTATTGTGTAAAATTTGTGTAGAAATATGCACAGCATTTTTTGGAAGAATTAATGGGTTAGCTCCTATATCGCAGAACCTGTGAGAGAGATTTTTTTTAATGTCTGTATGCTTAGAACTAGCAGGTAATCAGACTAATTTTCCCTCTGTTGATATTCACCCCTTCTTGTCAACTGTTGAGAATAGGCTACTTCCACCTTAACTGAATTGGAGTCGTTAGCACTGACCCCCCACTTGGTAAGGCAACTCTCATCTTTTCATGTGCTGTAATATATATACTGCTTACTGTATTTTTCACTCCATGTATCTGTTTAAGTGGGTTTTAGCCCACGAAAGCTTATGCCCAAATAAATGTTAGTCTCTAAGCTGCCACAAAAAGAACAGGAGTACTTGTGGCACCTTAGAG